ATCGCCATTGATTGTGATGCTTGAGCGTCATCACGATCATTCATTAATCAATTGATTTAGATGCTTGAGAACGGCCTTTATCATTAATAGAGTTCTTTATTAAATGTTACTTCTCTTTTCTCTCACTTACATGTTAAATTACCAGTTTGTAAATATATAGTTTATCATAAAATAATGTATGCATTTAATCAACAATAGAATTCTTTATTAAATATTACTTCTCTTTCTCTTCACTTACATGTTAAATTACAAGTTTGTAAGTATATAGGCTATTCATAAATTATATACACATTTTGTCGTCACTATTAAATATTACTTACGGTTCTCTTCACTTACATGTTAAATTACCAGGGCGTAAGTATAGTTTATTCATAAATAATATACATTTTATCGTCAATAGAATTCTCTATTAAATATTACCTCTCTGCTCTTTTTACTTAAATGTTAAATTACCAGTTTGTAAGTATATAGTTTATTCATAAATAATATACTCATTTTATCGTCAATAGAAATCTCTATTAAATATTACTTTATTCTTTTTCACTTGCATATTATATTCCCAGTATGTAAGTATATAGTTTATTCATAAAATAATGTGCACGTTTTATCGTCAATAGTTTCCTCTATTAAGTATTACTTAACTGTTCCTTTCACTTACGTGTTAAATTACCAGGACGTAAGTATATATTCTATTCATAGAATAATGTACATTTTTATCGTCAATAGGTATCTCTATTAAATATTACTTCTCTGTTCTTTTAATTTACGTGTTAAATTACCAGGGCGTATGTATATAATTTATTCATAGCATAATACACACATTTAGTCGTCAATAGTTAAATATTGTTTCTGTTCTTTTTACTTTATATATTAAATTACCAGGGCGTAAGTATATAGTTTTTTCATAAAATAATATACACATTTTATCATCAATAGATCTCTACTAAATATTACTTCTTTGTTCTTTTTCATTTATGTGATAAATTACCAGTTTGTAAGTATATAGTTTATTCATAAAATAATTTACATGTTTTATCATCAATAGAAATCTCTATTAAATATTACTTCTTGTTCTTTTCACTTGCATGATAAATTACCAGTTTGTGAGTATATAATTTATTCATAAAATAATGTACATGTTTTATCGTCTGTGGAAACTTTTATTAAATATTACTACTTACGTGTTAAATTACAAGTTTGTAAGCATATAGTTTATTCATAGAATAATCTACATTTTTATCGTCAATAGAAATCTCTATTAAATATTACTTCTCTGTTCTTTTAATTTACGTGTAAAATTACCAGGGCGTATGTATATAGTTTATTCATAAAATAATACACCCATTTTATCGTCAATAGAATTCTCTATTAAATATTATCTCTGTTCTCACTCACGTGTTAAATTACCAGGGCGTAAGTATATAGTTTATTCATAAAAATAGTGTACGCATTCTATCGTCAATAGAGATCTCTATTAAATATTACTACTCTGTTCTTTTCACTTACGTGTTAAATTACCAGGGCGTAAGTATATAGTTTATTCATAAAATAATGTACACATTTTAGCGTCAATAGAAGTCTATTAAATATTACTTTTCACTTACGTGTCAAATTACCAGTTTGTAAGTATATAGTTATTCATAAAATAATGTTCACATTTTATCGTCAATTGAATCCTTTATTAATATTGGTTTTTTGTTCTTTCATTTACCAGGGAGTAAGTATAGTTTATTCATAATAATTAACATTTTATCGTCAATAGAATTTTATATTAAATATTCTGTTTTTTCACTTGAATGTTAAATTACTAGACTGTAATTATAGTTTATTCGTAAAATAATCTATACATTTTATCAATTGAATTCTCTACTAATTTTACTTCACTTATTAGCTTGTAAGTATATAACTTATTAACATACACATTTTATCGTCAATAGAATTTTATATTAATTCGTGATTCGGGAACCAGTGATCTGCAATAATGAAAGGGATAATCTACGTACGTATGTAATTTTAAACTACTCATTCCTAATATGAAAAATCATGTTTTATGTACTCGACATATTTTGTTAAATATACTAATGCAGACATTAAAGACGCGTAATTTTCTCTGAATAACCATCAGCAAGTTGGTTTATAGATCTACAATTTTATATAGTTATTATATAGAATACTATATAAAAATTATACGTTAATTTTTATACAGAAATTATATAAAAATTTATTTAAACTTATGTTTATAAAAAAAGATCATATAAATGTTATATATATTTATAAATTTTATGTATCATAATTAAGTTACTTTTATATGCCATAATACGTATCTAAATAATTTTTTACATAAATATTATATATTATAATTAAAGCGCAATAAAATTAAGAATTACGTGAAAATGCACAAAAAAAAAGACAAAATTCTCAGTATTTTTTTTATTTACAATTGTTTATTTATAAGCATACATATCTCATTTAGCGACAATTTAAAAAATTAAATACAATATATATACAATGGTATAAGCATCCTAATACTAAATAAATAAATAAAGACAAAACAAAAGCGATCCACTTTTCACATTGTTTAAATATCCAATAATGCAAATTTCACTGATTATCCAACTCAAAATATCGTCTCGATTTTTCCAAAACCTCAAAATATCTATAAGATTTATGATTTAAGAAACAATTAGGAATAGATTTTTCGATCAAATCCAACTTTCTTAATGGTCTTGTAATGAGTTTTTGTAAATTTGATGAATCACCATTTTCCAATAAATTTTTTAACTCATTAAATTTTAATCCTTGACCCAATAATAATTTATTATTACCGAATAAATGATGTTGTTTTGATATAGGCTTTCTACCATCATGAAAAAATCGAACTTCATTTCCAATATGAGAATTATTTAAAACTTCGACTCTTTTTGTAAAACGTTTAATATTTTGATTATCAAAAGTTGGAGGCATTTTAGGAATTAAATCATCATCAGTAATAATTCGCCATAAAGATTTACCATTATTTTCAGGATTATCAATTAAAGAAGAAAATTCAGTAGCAAATTCATTATCAACGCAAGGAGGACTTGCAAAGGTGAAAGCATCACGTAAAATACAATTTTCGTTTAACATTGTAGGTGTTTTCATTAACCAAGTATAAAACAATGTTGCAAATGCTGCACCTATAGAATGTCCTGTTATCCATAAATTTACTGGATTATTATTCTTTTGATTAAGTTCTGCTACTTTGATTCGAATTGTATCAGCCATTCTTAATGCAGCACAATGATTTAAATTATTGGTTTCAAATAATGATTTATAATAGCCTTCATGAACTTTACCAAAAAGATACGGTTTTGCATCCATACGTTGGAATGTCATGTCTGTTAACATTTGAGCAAAACTAGTTGTAGTTGTTCCTTGAAACGCCACAACAATAAAGTTATCTTTCTGTAAAATTATAAAAAGTTTCGTTAATATTTTAATATAAATTATTAAAAATTTAAACGATCAAGTAATATTAATAATTCGATATTATACATTACCTCAGACCAAAACATGCCAGCATAGCAACCACCAAGATGATTCAATTCCGATATAGAAGTAAAATTAAGATCAAATTGTTCTATTTGTGCTCTAATTGAGTTTTCACTATCATGAAGAAGTTTTAATATTGTTCGTAAATCTCTGTCAGTTGGCTTTTTTTTCTTTGAATTTAATTTAGTGAGTGTTTCATGTGCATTGTGAACCATATTATCGTCTCGACAATATAAAAGAGAAGAAAGAAATAGGAGAAATTCTGCTCTATCTAAATTGAAATTACGTTCTCGTTGATCAGATAGATCCAAAGGTTTATTCAAGGATTCCATACCCGTTGACAATTGATTTACTATTTCAAATAATAATAATAATAATAATAATAAATTAGAATTAAAAGCAAAATTACCAATAAATTATATCATAAAAAAGTTTACTCACCAATATTTGTAGGCATCAATTGTTCCCAATGTGTAATAACATTTCGTTGATGATGTTTTCGAGAGAGACCCCATGATAATATATTTAATCCTGCCTCCAAATGAAATAACCAAAAAGCCAAAACAGGGAAGCAACAATACTCAAGCCAAAAATTAATAGGATTTAAAAATGGCCTGGTAAAATCAAATATAATAGTAAGAATGAAACATTCAACGAGCCTTCGATAATATATTAAATAAGTTATTGATTGATTAACTAAAGGTAAAGATGCAATTCCTACAGGTAATGCATCAGGTTGAGTAGCTTTTAAATCCACCAACCTCGAACAATCATGTTGAGCAATTATAGGTTTTTGTATTAAATTTAATTTATTCTGATCAATTTGATGATTAATCGAAGGTGAATTATTAATCGAATCATTATCATTTTTTTTATCTACAATGTCTAATGTTAAATCACTTTGTTGTACAATTTCACTATGATTTTTATCATCATCAAGTTCCTTTTCATTAAAAGGTCTAACTGGTGCCTTGCCTTTACATTTTTTAGGATTATTTGATGATGAAATTTGAAATTGAGGTATTTCATTATCCTCAGATTCTTTTATCTTTTCGGAAATTGTAATATCAACCTGCATCGTTATTTGTTCAGTATCTATAACACATTCTTTATGAATTTTATTCTCTTTATTACCTTCAGAATTATTAACAATTGACATATCATGTTCAATTAGTTCATTTTGAACCGTTGATATAATAGGTGAAGTAATTATTTCTTGATTAAATAAATTTGTATCAACATTTCTTGATGTCGGCGAAATAGAATAGTCTTCAGAATCATGCGATGTATGAACAAGAGATTCGCTTTGTTCATTATAAAGCGTGGATGATGGAACAGATTGTTCATCTTGTTTTGGATTTTCTACCGACATTATAGAAGGTACTATATTATCATGCTCTAAGCTCTCTATAAACTCTACTATTGCTTCTTCTATTGATTCTTTAATATCCGGATTGACCTGTTCTGCGATGTCATCTGATTTGGATCGCTCAGTAGTGTCGTCCGATTCAGCAGTTTCACCTGACTTGATTTGTTCTGTGATGTCATCTGACTCGATTTGTTCAGCAGTGTCATCTGACTTGGCTTGTTCTGAGATGTCATCTGACTCGATTTGTTCAGCAGTGTCATCTGACTTGACTTGTTCTGAGATGTCATCTGACTTGACTTGTTCAGCAGTGTTATCTAGCTTAACTTGTTCAGTGATGTCATCTAGCTTAACTATTTCAGCAGTGTCATCTGACTTGGCTTGTTCAGTAGTATCATCTGACTTGACTTGTTCAACGATGTCATCTAGCTTAACTAGTTCAGCATTGTCATCTAGTTTAACTGGTTCAGCAGCGTCATCTATTTTAACTTGCTTAGCAGTGTTATCTGACTCGACATGTTCTGCAGTATCATCTGACTTGACATGTTCTGCGATGTCATCTGACTCGACATGTTCAGCAGTGTCATCTGACTTGACTTGTTCTGCGATGTCATCTGACTTGACATGTTCTACGATGTCATCTGACTCAGCAGTGTCATCTGACTTGACTTGTTCTGCGATGTCATCTGACTCGACATGTTCAGCAGTGTCATCCGACTTGACTTGTTCTACGATGTCATCTAACTTGACTTGTTCAGCGGTATCATCTAACTTGATTAGTTCAGCAATGTCATCTTGTTCAGCAGTGTCATCTGACTTGACTTGTTCTGCAATGTCATCTGACTTGACTTGTTCAGCGGTGTCATCTGACTTGACTTGTTCAGCAGTGTCATCTGACTTAACTTGTTCTGCGATGTCATCAAGCTTAACCTGCTCCTCGATAGCATCTGGCTTAAATTGTTCTGCGGTATCGTCTGGTTGAACTTTTTGTTCATATTGACTATCTGTATCTTTAGATAATATAACGATTGGTTCATTTTGCATATTTTGAACATTATATTGCATATCTTGAATCTCATTTTGCACGTTATTTTCCATGTCATTTTGAACGTTATCTTGAATGCTGTCTTGTATACTATCTTGAACATTGTTCTGAATCGAGTCTTGATCGTTGTCTGAAGGTGTTTGAACGACTAATTTTGCTTTCTCTTCATCGTACTCAAAAGTTGATGCATGATATTTGGACTGTTCCTCTTGTTCAGTAAACACGTCTTCCAACCTTGCAATTTGTTGATGACCGCATTCTTCACGTGATTCAATATTTTCAATAACTTCATTAGTATCTTCAACTACTTCTTTATACGACTCATGTTTCTCAAGTTGATTTTCCTGAGATTCCATTATATCTTTATTTGTATCGATTATTTCATCAGTTGGTTTATCTTGCTCAACGTGATAGTCTAGTAATGGAACAGTTTGCATTTTATTTTGTAGGTCAAAATCATATTGCCTATCGTGAGATTCCATATATTCTGAAGTAATATTGTGCGACTCTACTATATTCACGCTTTCGTTAACAACTTCGGATGCTTCAATTTTCATATCATCGTTTTTTAATACAACATCTAATGTCTTAATGGTATCTGCATAATCTTCCTGCGTTATGTTATCTTCAGATGACCCTATAGGATATAGAAGTTCGGAGTATGTATTAAAATCCTCGTCTTGCAATGTTTCCTCATCTTGTAAAGTTTCATTCTTGAATTCATTTTGATCCGTAACGTCGAAACTTTTTTCACATTCACTAGATTCATCTTTTATTTCCACTTGATTTTCAATTTTAAGATTGTCCTGAATATCATTATAGTTATTGTTCAATACCGTCTCGACTGTCACATTGTCTTTTACTATCTCTGAATCTTGTGTAAGCATACTCTCTTCTTGCGTAAACATGCTTTCGTCTTGTGCATCTTCTGTCAACACAATCTTATCTTGTACAATGGTCTTTATATCTAATGCATCGTCTTGTACATTATTATCATCATCAGCCATTAGTGATTCAGCGACTTCCAAAGCAGATTGGTCTTCAGAAGAATTTTTTTGATCGTCACTTTCTAGAGATGATGTAGTAGTACTTTGCTCAATTTTTTCTACAGTTGACGCGTCATTTTCCAAACCCCCCATCTTCTTAAGTTCTAATTCTTCTTGTTCGATTTCTTTCATCAACTTTTCAATCTCATCATCAATATCACTATAATTAACGTCTTCGTCGTCATCACTTGAATTTGGATTATTATTAGTTACCTCACATGGTTTACTATTTTCTACCACCAAAGTTGAAGATTCAACCGATTTATCTTGAATAGCTTTCTTTGTAGATACTTCAAGATTCACAAAAGAATCAGGCGATTTTTGTTTTTTATCATCAGAAAGAATTTCTTTCTTTGCAGATACTTCAAAATTCACAAAAGTATCTGGCGATTTTTGCTTTTTATCATCAGAGAGAATTTCTTTCTTTGCAGACGTTTCAACACTCACAGAAGAATCCGAAGGTTTATCAGTATCATAAAGAATTTCGTTCAAAATGTCTTCAAGATTTTTATCAAAATCTTCTCGTGAACCAAAACTTTTTCTAGGTTTTCTAAATAAAGATTCATTCACAACATTAATTTCATCATCTTCGTCAACTTCATGTTCCGCATCTTGTTTTGTATCATCATTATTATAAGTCACATTTTTATCTTTTTTATCTTTTATAATTTCAATCGTCTTTAAATTATTATCATTATTATCCGAGGATAATTTGACAGTTGGAATTTCTAATTCTTCATTAAATTTAGAAACGGAAGGAGTATCATAAGGATTTGGAGTTATAGAATCTCGAAAAGTTGAAAGCACCTCATAATCATCAAGACTTTTATCATATTCAGACGAAACTTCAAAATTCATATTAAGACTATCTAAATTGTTTAATAAGGAATCATTGGTTGAATCGTTATAATTTTTAAAAGGTAAAGATTTTTTTAAACCTAAATTTGAATTATTTTTAGAATTTTTTGATTCTTTAAATTGCTTATAAAGATCACTTGAAGTAATTTCCGAACCGAAAAAAAATTCATCTAAATCAGAATTACTATCAGATAATAATTTATCATCATCATCATAATCATCAAAATCATCAATAAAACCTAAAGAAGAAAATTTATCCAAATAATCATTTTGTATAAAATCATCTAATTCATCAGAATAAGAATTAAAATTATAACCATTCTCTGAAGCCATAGAAGAAGATCTAGAAATACGATAATAACTGCCTTCAGAAGTTGCAGATGAAAAAGTAGGAGATAAAGGAAATAAACTATCATCCGAAGTTACAGAAGAAGCATTTGAAACTCTTCTTGTAGTACCAATCGGAATGGTGGATACATGTTGTCTGGTAATTTCAGATGTGAAAGGTGGGACAAAATCTTGAGCTTTTGGAATTTCGGAAATGGAAGTTAAATTTGGAGTTACACTACTAGGTGTTATGTATGAATGTTGTCTTGTGTGTTCAAATGTTGTACGCTTGTGAACGGCTGAACGAGAAGATACGACCGTAGAAATGTTGGACGAATATTTAGGGGATTCGAAAATTGTTGTAGAATTACGACGTCTAGTATTCCTAGAAATGTTGGACGAATATTCTTTAGGAGTTTCGACAATTGTTGTAGAATTACGTCGTTTACTTTTATTATCTGTTGCAGGAATGTCATGCCTGCTCTTTGTTGGAGATGCTGCGGAAATTTTCTCCTTGTTATTTGTGGATACTGTGGGCGATGTCTTAATCGAAGATGGTCTTTTTTTGGTACCTGTCAATATAAGAAATATGAGAAATAGGGTTAATATCTCTTGGAATTTTTTTTTTATCATCAAGCATTATAATATTAAGGTTTTAAATAATCATGAAATATTTTATTAAAGGGGTTGGATTAACAAACAGCTAACGCTACGCTAACGTTAACGCTAAATACACCGATAACTTTTATTATCAAAAATCTAATATAGATAGTTATTAACTTTATGTGACATTGAAATATTCTTACCTATTGTCGGTTTATTTCTGTTAACTAAAGGTTTGACACTTGTCGAAACGTCAATTCCACCTAAAGGTTTAGTTTGGGCAGTTCGATTTTTTGTTGTATCTTCTGACTTAACGTTAATATTTAAATGATTTTTGGCATGTTCAGATAACTGAGTTACGTCATACTTTTGAGTTCCATCAGGTCTGAACAATGATTTTTTAGCGTCATCAGGATTCGGTAAAGATTTTTTTAATTCAGGACGCTTTTTACCTGAAGATGATGTAGGTTTTGTGACTTCACGTTTTTTTAAATTAGTTTCTGATGAAGCTGATGCTAACTTTTTATTACGTTCGATTGGTTTTTTAACATCTGATGAAGTATTACCAGTTGAAGATTTTTTACCTTTCATTTTTGTTTTTTTTTAAAAAAAAAATTTTTTTTCAGAATTCGAAGGAATGTAAAAAACAGCGTTACTTTATTAATTTATTAATCGTTTGTAATTTGACATATTGCACAAAAAAAAAATCCTTATTGTTCTTTCGATTGTCACCACAAACAAGTTGATCATCTGACAGAAATATAATTATGTAATTCGGGATAATTTCCACGTGGTACAATCTGAACATTTAACGCCAAATTACTTTATTTTAAATACAAATGGAAATCGGGCGTTTCTTGGGGCAACTATTTAGCCAGATCCACTACGGGAACCAACGATAAAACTAATATTGGAAATCAATTTAAATATCAACAATACACTAGATCTGATATATAGATGATAATTTAAGATTAAACTGATGTGCGTATACAGTTAGTTTTATCTGTCATTATTGATACATGAACTAATAATATTTCTTGGATTTCTTTGAGGCTCGTAGAAAAACATGTTTTTTTTTCTTGGTAAAAAAATTTTTTTTTTTAAGGTATAAAAAAAATTTTTTTTTTAAGGTTTCTACGAGCATTACCATATTCGTTCTTATTTAGTGTTACACTATAAAATAAAGTTATGATGATCAATTGACAGCGTGATCCTATCATCGCGTATCATACTTCGTATAAAATGGATTTATAAAGCAAGCGCTGTTTGATTTAAATATTCCGATAAATAGGGAACTAAAGCTCCTTAATTCTATGTGATTATAAATCATAAATTTTATCCTAAAAAAATAGCCGATTTTATATTAGTGAGATATGACTAATTATATTCTTGACGTTGAGGGTCAAGGCATTATAATAAGTATATATATATTATTAATATACTTAAACGTATAACTTTAAAATTATAATCACATGTCGATACATAAACTTAGTTTATACTATAATATAAAAAATTATGTCAAACCGGTTTTTAATATGAACCGTAACTGGTCTGCACTTAAATTTATAATCCACTATGAAAACCTTAAAATTCTCGACTACTTAATTTGTTAATTTGGAGAAGTTTAAAAGCCTGGACCCCGCTAGATTGCCCATTATTTAAATTTTAACATTAGGTTTAGATTTGATTGGTCCGGGTACCCATGTTCCCCATAATTTGTAGATGCGCACCTTGTATTTTGCAGTATATATACTGTATATATCAATATTGGTCACCTAAATTTTATTTATTTATCAATTAATCATTTCATAGATACAATACTACAATGAGATAATACCACAATATATATCATTATTTGGTAATATTGCTGAATATGTCTTAACCTAGTTATGTCAATATCAGTCAAATCTTTGTATAGTTACACTATCTAAATTAGTGATACGGACTAAACCGAAAGATTTCACCTTGGCAAAATTATCTTCATCTGCTAAAATCTTTTAGATATTGAAGTAATTTTACTCATAATACTATTATATGCTATTGTGAATTTATTAGTGAATTTGATATAACCGAAAATTGTAATAAATCTCATTGAAGATTTTCGAAATTTATGCTGGGGGTTATCTCGCACAGGATATGTTTCTATATACTTTAGATTCTTTTTTCTTAGTAAAATATTTGATACAAAAATCATATAAACTTCATAAACTTGAACTTTTTATTTAAGACAACTAAATATTTATTACGTAATAGTAAATTTTCATGTGTTTAAATATATTATTTTAAAAATACATCGAGTAATGTAATTAATAAATATATAATTAATATTTTCTAAATTAATATGAATATGAATGAAATAGTACAATAAAAGTAAACAAAACTATATTAATAACATATTTAAGTATTTATATACATTCATCAGCTACATTCACTGTTGTCAATACCAAAATACAGACTATATAAACAATCGTGAAGTTGTACATGGATTGGCTATGTTAATACGAACCAAAATTTGATAAAGAACTTTTAATAGATTTTAAATGCACCATTGAAATGTAATAATATAAAATATTTACGAACTTGAATAGTTTATTTAAAAAAAAAAACATCAATATTTAACAAATTAATATGTGGTAAATGTTTGCAAACTTGATAACATTTTAATTTAAATATTGTTAAATTAAAAGAAATCTATTTATCAACAACCTATATTCGAAGTCACGTGTAGACAATATTGGTGCATTCAAAGTGCCGAAGGTTATTAGAGTTTTCATCCAGCGAATGAAGAATTTTGAAAAGAACGATCTTATGTTATTTAACCACTGGAAGCTATTATAATTCCAATTCCATTCAATTAAACCCAATGACTTTCCATCTCTTGTAATTCCTATTGGAAGTTCCAGTGAAACATTGGCTATCGTTACGCTAAAATGAAAATTTCAATTTTAGTTACACTGCAAGGAAGTGTCTAAATAACATATTATTTAAAAACGCTAGATTGTTTCTTTCAATTAGTTTGTTAATATATACTTATTGGATGCAAAGCAGCCATAATAACTTATTACTAGGTAAAATATATATTTAAATATATTACCAATAAATGTATTAACATACATATATCACCTAGTAATTAAGTAGTAATTAAGTAGTAATTAAGTAGTAATTCAGTAATTAAGTAGTACATAGTCAAGTAATTATTTGTATATATATACTATATATTACAAGATATTCTTAAAATATAATTTAAACCAGTAAGTATTTGCGTCAACCGGTATATTTCTATAAAAACTCTATACGGATACAATGTCTATTTCTAAAGCAATTTAGTTTGTGATACTTCTACACTTTAAACAAATATATGTTAACAGCCACCAAACCAAACTTACAAAACATTTTATTCTGCATTTAGTTACGCATATCGGATAGGGGGTTATCGAGATATATTTGTTAAGATTTTTGTGAAGATTCAATTCTTTTTATGGAAGGATTTATTATTTTAGTTATACATTTCATTATTAAATAAGTTTGTCTTATATTCAGCCTTACTTAATTTACGGCTTTTATTATTTGTTAATTATTTATTATTTATATCATATACATCATAGTTAAATGGGATTTTCAATTATTCGCGTAATTATGATCTGTTCCATTTTTAAGTAATTAATTTGAAACCCTGATTAAAAACAATTTCATCACATTATGTGTACAAGATATTTTACGATCGATCACAGCTACTAATTATTATTAAAATATCAAATATCCCAATTATTGGAATTAAATGAATGTTACATTAGCGCAGTTCTCTCATTAAACAGTAACCCCATGACTTGAGAATATCGTGATTATCAAATAATCTAGAAGAACCAATATTATTGATCCATTTTTTTTTTCTTATTTGGATGATCTAGATCGACTAGCCAATCAAATTATATCGAAAAATGAGCCTAACCTATATCGGGACAATAATAAAAATGTCAGGAAATTAATTTCATCTATAATATTCACTTAGTTTCAAATCTCAAACTAGTTCTAACTAGAGATGGTTACCAGGCGCATCATTCCATGTATGCGTGCAATATTAATGTCTGAGCTGATGTACACTTAAATGCTTATACTACGTACAACAAATGACAATCCGAAAGTAATCCTGATCCATAATAAGTTATCGTCAACATGCGTATCATCCCCATAACGTGCATCACTTAAAATACGCATTTTGTCTATCTCTAGTTCTAATTCTAATTTAAGCTTTAGTCACATTTCCAAAATAAGAACATCGTCTAAAAGCACTTGTGGTATTTTATGTATGTCACGTGAATTAACAAATTGATTACTAATCAATTTTAATTAATTTTAATCAAAATTCTAGCGCTGCAAAGTGAAAACCTGAAAGTGAATATTTTAATTTTCAATGGCTTAGCCCACTTCGCCCTTAAAGAATTATTATGTAATCGGCATTGATGATTGGTGTGATTAATGTTCTAGTAATTTCAGTAATACAAATACACATATCGGGCATTCTATCGAAACATGATGTAATACACAATTAAGTAAGTTCGCTACAGTACTGTGAAAACTTAATTTACACTTCACAAGTGCCCCACAAAAAATTGTTCCACCCCTGTAATTTTGACCAATCGATTTCAAGATCAGGTGCGACATAAAAATCTAAAACTAGGACCCTAGCATAGTGATACGGGTCGATGGAAAAATCATGGGCCGGGTCGATCCTAAAAAAGCTCAGGCCGGTCGACCGGGCCGAACTATTTTGCTAATATAAATTTTTCTAATAAACGTTAGTCTCAATATTTATATCAAACGTGTAGAAAGCCATCAGGTAGCTCCTTGCCAAATTCTAGTATACTAAAATCATTTGGTTATTATTCTTTTTGTTATTTAATTATAATGCGATATATTTCATGTTGATTAATTGTCTATGCACCCAAACATGTCAGGCATTTCTATTTCTTATACGTATTAGTTATTTGCTAATTTATCACCTAAATTAGCCACCTAACGAGTGTCTACATTTTTATAAACGATTAGTTGATTTTTAGCCAATTTTTTAGCCAGTATATGAGAATCGATTCTAGCACTTCTTTTATCAGTGAGGGTCATCGGCCCGGCCGTTAGGTCGGGGCCAGCCCGTATCACTACCCTAGCATCACAAATCTAATTTTTTAAGTTGTAACACTAAGGGTCGAAACCTCAATTTTTACAAAACGTTACTTGTGAATTTTACTATTTTATGCTGCATTGTTTTAATCTAACCTTTATTACCCGTAATTTTACGCAACCATTTTTTTTTATTACTTTGAAAATAAACCGTCATGTTACATATGGGGTCTTTGCCTTGAAAATCACCCTCCGACATTTCTGATCGGACAAATACAAATCCGTATATTAGTTCACGTTTATATTTGAATCTCTTTTTGCCTTTATTGATTCAAAACTTTATTCTATAAGCTATTGAACTATAAAGACAAAAGGGTTTACATATAAACATGAACTAATACACGGTTTTGTTTTTGTCCGAATTAGCCCGATCGGAAATGTCGGAAGGTGATTTTCAAGTCAAAGACCCCATATAT